CACAATATGATGCTGCAGAAACTGTAAAAAGTTAATTAGTGAAAAGAAGCTCAAGTATACCAGACAGCCGCAGGCTGGACTGGCACAGGCTCTTGAAAGCAATGACAGATCTAAATTTTGGCAACTTATGGCAGCTACAAGGCACACCAACGAATCCTGTACTGACCTAACAATCTCCACACATGAATGGGAGCTACACTACTGCTCCCTGGTTTTGTTTTGTTTTTAATGAGATGCTTTGTACATCTTTGCAAGCAATGACCAAGCATTACCTTGCTGGGCTCCAGTTACCTGTGAGGAGGTAGGAAAGAATGGCATCCCACCAGAGTTCACAGTTATTCACACTGGTGGGTCTCAATGCTAGCTGCCTTATTTACCTTTATACACAGGTCTGGGAAATTCCCTTCAGAATGGGCTGAAGCCATTGTAGTACCTTTCTCTAAGAAAGGTGCTAGATCAAACCCTAGGAATTATCACCCTATAAGCAAAAGCATGCTGCTTATGTACCGCCCTATAGCACTTAAAACACTCTCTGGGTGGTTTACAAGTTAAATATGTAGGCTACATATCTCCCCCACCACCACCACCAATGAGCTGGGTTCTCATTTTACCGACCTTGGAAGGATACAAGGCTGAGTCAACCTCGGGGTGGCTACCAGGGATTGAACCCTGGGTCGTACGCAGTTTTGGCTACAATACAGCAGTTTAAGCACTGCACCACAAGCCTCTCAGATGTAGTCAGCAAATTGTATGCAAGATGTCTTTCGGATAAGTTCAAAAACTTGGTGTCCTCAGAGAACCTCGTGGCTCTGGAGCAAACTGGAATCCTTGAATATAGATGATAGGTCACTTTGGAGAATCCAAGGACTATGATGATACCACCTTCTGAGTAAGCCCCAAAATCCAGCCCCAAATTTTCCCACACCATCTAACGGGCAGGAATATATTGGTACTTTTGCATGCGGGTGATACAGTTCTCTTGTCCAGCACCCATGTGGAGATGTGAAGACTTTTCAGGGCTTTAGGTGCTTATTGTGTCAAGGAACCCCCCCAGGAAAATGACACAAAAACCAAAGTTTTATTCCTTGGGAAAAGGAGAAAGAATTACAGATGGCAGCTGAAAAGGGAACTACGCAAACAGACCAGCTCATACAAATAACCTTGGAATAGCATTCAAAATTTCAAGAACATGGTCAAGCCACTTAGAATCTGTAGCTGTATTAGCAGAGGCATCTGCCAATGTTATTTACTGTTTTTCTTCTGGACCTGGTTGAAAAATGGTGGCATCACTAATACAAGTGTATAAACTCCTTCCTCAGATGCTCTATGGAGCTCCAGTGTGGGCTTCTTCAAATACCTCAAAATTGGAATCTGTCTGGCACAAAAGAAGCTCAAGTATACCAGACAGCCGCAGGCTGGACTGGCACAGGCTCTTGAAAGCAATGACAGATCTAAATTTTGGCAACTTATGGCAGCTACAAGGCACACCAACGAATCCTGTACTGACCTAACAATCTCCACACATGAATGGGAGCTACACTACTGCTCCCTGGTTTTGTTTTGTTTTTAATGAGATGCTTTTCTTTGCAAGCGATGACCAAGCATTACCTTGCTGGGCTCCAGTTACCTGTGAGGAGGTAGGAAAGAATGGCATCCCACCAGAGTTCACAGTTATTCACACTGGTGGGTCTCAATGCTAGCTGCCTTATTTACCTTTATACACAGGTCTGGGAAATTCCCTTCAGAATGGGCTGAAGCCATTGTAGTACCTTTCTCTAAGAAAGGTGCTAGATCAAACCCTAGGAATTATCACCCTATAAGCAAAAGCATGCTGCTTATGTACCGCCCTATAGCACTTAAAACACTCTCTGGGTGGTTTACAAGTTAAATATGTAGGCTACATATCTCCCCCACCACCACCACCAATGAGCTGGGTTCTCATTTTACCGACCTTGGAAGGATACAAGGCTGAGTCAACCTCGGGGTGGCTACCAGGGATTGAACCCTGGGTCGTACGCAGTTTTGGCTACAATACAGCAGTTTAAGCACTGCACCACAAGCCTCTCAGATGTAGTCAGCAAATTGTATGCAAGATGTCTTTTGGATAAGTTCAAAAACTTGGTGTCCTCAGAGAACCTCGTGGCTCTGGAGCAAACTGGAATCCTTGAATATAGATGATAGGTCACTTTGGAGAATCCAAGGACTATGAGAATACCACCCTCTGAGTAAGCTCCAAAATCCAGCCCCAAATTTTCCCACACCATCGAACAGGCAGGAATATATTGGTACTTTTGTATGCGGGTGATGCAGTTCTCCTGTCCAGCACCCATGTGGAGATGTGGAGACTTTTCAGGGCTTTAGGTGCTTATTGTGTCAAGGAACACCTCCAGGAAAACGACACAAAAACCAACATTTTATTCCTTGCCCTCAAGGAGACACTCATTAGGCCCATTAGGAATAAACCAAATTTGGCGGCAGACAATATTGGCAATTATAGGCCCATCCCCAATGTTCCTTTCCTTAGTAAAGTGGTAGAGAGGGTGGTGGCTGACCAGCTCCAGGCCCATTTGGATGAAACCAACACCCTGGATGTATTTCAGTCTGGTTTCAGACCATACCACGGTATGGAAATGGTATTGGTCACCTTGTTTGATGACCTCCTGAGGGAGGCTGACAGGGGCAAAATGTCTTTGTTGGTCGTTCTCGATATCTCAGCCGACCATGGTATCCTCCTGGGGAGGCTCTCCAAGCTGGGAAGCGATGGTCTGGCATTGGCCTGGCCCCAAACCTTCTTGGAGGACTGTCCCCAGAGAGTACAGCTTGGGGACAGTGCATGGGCTCTGTGGAATCTCAATTGTGGGTTTTCAGAAGGCATGGAGTTTGGCAAAAAGGAAAGGGAGCAACGGCTCCCCTTCCTTTTTGCTAAAGCCCCATGCCTTTGGAAAAGGCAGTGGTAAAGAGGTGCCTTCTGTGTCTAAAATGACCCTCATTTTTTCTCAAATTATTTAAGAGAAAGGTGTCATTTTATACACAGAAAAATATGGCATCTTGCTCTACCCACTGCTCTCTACAGTCTTCCACTGAGGTATCTACCTCTTGTCCAAATCCACCTTTTCTCTGGTATGTATGAATACATGAATTTATGTCAAGTATGGGTTTTGTAGGTATAAGCTAGCAATTTGACCATATCACACATTCACTGTCACTGACCTGCTCTCCTCTGAACATCTGCTGCTTTCAGCACATCTAGTTCTCAAGGCTTCCCAGGGTAGAACATGGAAGCTAGCAATTTGACCATATCACACATTCACTGTCACTGACCTGCTCTCCTCTGAACATGTTGCTTTCAGCACATCTAGTTCTCAAGGCTTCCTAGGGTAGAACATGTCACCTATGATGGCTAAAGGCATTAGAGATACAACACATGATTTTTATGAAGGCCATTTTAAACAAAGATTTGTGAAATTATGCATTATGAAAAGTGATGAGAATGTTTATCCTGCTGTAATAGTGCTAAATATTCATATTATTCATTGATACCTAACACAGCAACTTGGAAATATACTCAGAATAAAGTGATTCTATTGTATACCTTTCAATGTAGTGGAATGATTATTTGCAACAGCTTAGTACTGTAGCCAGAATCACAGTGGGGATCTATGCTAGCAAAAGCATAATTGCATAAATGGCAGCAGCAAATTGCTTCTAATTAATGAGTATTCACTTGTCCTCAAGGCCATGTGCCAGCCATGCACATGATCTGGAATGTAAAGAACGGCTTATTAATTAGCAGCAATCTGCCACAACAATTTACGCAATTATACTGATACTAGCACAAATCCACAATAGGATTCTGGTCACTGTCTTATATTATTCTTTGTTACTAGTCTTGATCAGATAAATAACAGGGTAGGTCTAAATGACTATAAGCGATTTCATGAAACCTCCACATTCAAAGACAGGATTACTCTGAATTATCAGTTACTAAACAGAAACCATGAAATCGGCTTCGTGCCATATTTCTGAGTTTCTTGGAAGAAGAATGCTGGTCCTTGATGAGATCCAGCAAAGCTTTTTGTATTCTTAAGCAAAATGAACCCTACCAATTGTACATGGTGGTCCACCAGGTGCTCAAAACAATTGTGTGTATCTTCTGCCCACCTGGTGGTATAAAACCACGGGACATGAGTGTACTCAGTAGGCTAGCATACATGGCAGGTGGCTTGAATTCAGTTTGCTATGTCACAAGATGGAGTAGACTAGGATCAAACACAGTGTTCTAGTTCCTAAGACAATATTGTTCCAGAACACTATAACTAGGCCATCTATATACCCTACCTAGCTATCTAATCTGGCTATACACAAAGTGTATGTGTGTGTGTGTGTACATATACAGAGAGAGACATATATAAAATAGTATTCAACAGTGTATTTAATTATAGTGCAATTACAGCAGGGGTCCTCAACCCCCAGTCCGCAGACCAGGCCTAGGTCACGGAGACAAATCTCCTGCCTCCTGCACATGCAGACACATGCACGCCCCTCCTATGCACCCAAGGCCCCTCCCACGCACAGCCCCTCCCATGTATGGGCACACATATGGCCCCTCCCACACATACACAGACGCCCAACCCCACCTGTACACTAAACCGGTCTGTGAAGGCAAAAAGATTGGGGACCACTCAACTACAATATTAAGGCTATATATAATTTGTTGCTGGAAATTATATACTCATTGTACTTCACTTGATCTTATAACCTTTTTGTTTACATTTAATATATAATTAATATAAAGTTACTACTGAATACTGAGAACATGCAACTAACCCTATGCATATTTCTTCAGTGGTCCAACTTAATTACGTAGCACTTGAATATAAAATGCACAGGACTGATTAAATTCTTAATACTGTAGCTACATTACGATTAAATACACTGTTGAATACTATTTTCTCAATTCAACCACCCAATTGCTATTAAAAAAAGAGAGAAAGAGAGAGTTTAGAAACAATAGTTTTAATTAAAAAACATAAGAAATGCAATACAGACCATAAAGGATTTTAAAATGCATTAACAATATATGTAAAGAAAAGCATTAATTTTTCTACTTTCTCATTTACAATGTCATGAACAGCATTCTAGATCCTTTCTGGTTTAATATTTTTCATTTTTTTACATCCTTGCATTGAATTGTAAAAAAACAAAACAAAAACCAGTTATCTTAATTGTGTGCAATTTCTAATATGATTCACCTACTACCATCCACAGGATTGATAAAACTGTTTGGGGTTTTAGATGTGCTAGTGCATATTACGTTCCTCTAAAGAAGCACAGAGTGTTGGTTAACTGCACAATTATCTCGCAGATCTGTCTGTAAATAAAAATACATATTTTCTTAGGAACAAAAATGACTTACAAATATTAGCATACTAGAAGATATTTAAAGGGCAAATGCTGAAAGCATGTCTAGTAGTCTTATTTTTCCATCCAAAAGCACCGGCCCTATGGACAGTTTTGGAAAACTCCAACTGGGTATTTTCTTGCTTGCTCTTCCCTTAAATAATTCATGACAGGGCTACAAGTCCTTTTTTGACTCTGTTACAGCCACTTAATGTTTACAGAACCTGTAAGAGGATCACACTTGTGAATTACTGACATTGTGCTTGACAAAGGCCAAGTGTCTTAATAATCGCTCAAATGGCTTTTCCTCTAAATACTGTATGTTGTCACGGATATTAAATATATCTTATCTGTAGCTGCTTCTATCTGGAAATCTGTTAAACCCAGAACTTTGGAACAGTGTGTCTATTTTCTATCGGACCAGTAAACTCACTAACATAGAACTGAGCAAAGGAATCCATAAACATCTCCAATAATGCAGAAAAAAACTTAATGTCTTTGGGTTTATGAACATTTTAAGTGACCTTTCCTGCCTTCCGCTGTGTGCAATATAAACAGAGCCCAACAATTAAACATACAACGTAAATACTGCAAACCTTACAAATATTCATATCACAAATTCTGATTTCTGATAGTGTTAATATAATACCCTACGTAGCTGAAGAAACATCTGATATAAAGTGCTTTGAAGGTTAAGCACTTTATTATATATGCCCCACAGGAGCTCCCCATTACATTTTACACGTAAGCAAAATATTGGATAAAATGTTCTGAAAGAGAAGCCCTGATACACAGCAAGTGGTTTTAGCTTTATAATTGATTGCAAATCCTCTGTATGTTTCCTCCTATTCTCATGCAGCACTGCATAATTACCTTTCCCACCCCCACACAAGATAAAAGTTCCACAGTTAAAGATTGCACTTTTATAGCATAAACCTGAAAGTCTTCAGTTTTAAGTGAAGTGGAGCAGTCCAGTGAAACTGATTTCTTATGAAACAGGAAGATTTCTCCTGAGCACTTCTTTTGATGCTGGAGCTATACTGTCAGGGAAGGTTACTTCAAATTCTATAATTAAGTCACCTCGTTGGTCAGGATTTTTTGGAAATGGTAAGCCATATCCTATAATTCTTCTTCTCATCCCAGGCTTTACAACTTCATTTACTGTCATAGGTATGGTTCGACCTTCTATTGTCGGTACATTGATTGAAGTGCCGCATAAAGCCTAAAAATATTTGAGAAGTCAGCAGCATGTAGGTATTGTATATAAAGCACTTCAATGTTTATTATGTATACAATACAGAAAGACACATATATCAAAAATACATTATGGTACTCCTACATGTGCACTGTGCTGCAGAGTCAGAAGACCAAGCAGTCATAAGATCTAATCCACGCGACGGAGTGAGCTCCCATTGCTTTGTCCCAGCTCCCACCAACCTAGCGGTTCGAAAGCATGCAAATGCAAGTAGATAAATAGGGACCACCTCAGTGGGAATGTAACAGCGTTCCGTGTCTAAGTCGCACTGGCCATATGACCACAGAAGATTGTCTTCGGACAAAACGCTGGCTCTATGGCTTGGAAACGGGGATGAGCACCGCCCCCTAGAGTCGAACATGACTGAACAAAAATTGTCAAGGGGAACCTTTACCTTTACCTTACATGTACACTATACCGGATGGATTAGTAAAAATAAAAATATTACAAATAAAAATTACAAATAAAGCCCAGTGAATGGTTGCTAGAAGTAACTCCTGTGGGCCACTGACATGAAGCTTTATGGACAACTAGCACCCCTTATTTCCTTCTTGATGTCAAAATGGCATACGCACACAAGTAGAAATTCAACTGGATTCATTCTGTGACAGAGTCCAGTAAAGCTTTAGATGACTCTCTTGGACTTCAAACAACCTATCTGGGGTGCCACAGACTCACACATTCTCTGTAGCATAAGCCCAAGGATAATTTCCCACCTGTTCCTCTCTGGTAAACACACAGCCACAGCTGTGGTTCCCGGTGATGCGTGCACCCTGAAAATCACAGCAGTGGCCTTTTTCTTTTTTACCAGGGAGGAATAGATGGAAAATTATCATTGGGCTTATGCTATGAAAAGGAGTTTAACCACTGATTCCCTTTTTTAAAAGCACGTGGTGATAATCTGTATCAAAATTAACATTAAGAAAAAACATTTGCTTCGATTTGTATGGGGAGAAACTACAGTGGTGCCTCGACTTATGAACATCCCAACTTACAACCATTTCGAGTTACAACCAGCTCTGGCCGCAAAATTTTGCTTCTACTGTACTTGCGGCCGGAGCTTCCACTTACGAACAGAAAAAGGCAGGGGGGAAAGGCGGGAAATTCAAATTACTAACTGTAGGTGGCGACGAGGCTGTTTCTTTGTAGCTCTTTCGGCCCAGCAGTTAGAGTGTGAGGCAGAAAAGGCTTGGGACTACCGTGTGTGTGTGTGTGGGGGCTTCGGGCTGCCTGGTAAGGTAAGGTGCTGTTTTCTGCTTTTTAAAAACTGTTCTGGGTGTTTTTGCAGTGTGGTTTTGAGCTTGGGGGGTTATGTATCTGTGATATGATGGGAATTGGGGGGGTTGTTTTTTTGGGTTCCCCCCATTTCTGATGGGTCTTGGGGGTTTGTTTTTTGGCTTCCCCCCATTTCCAAAGGGTCTTGGGGGGTTTGATTGCTTTTGGGAGGTTTTGTCCAAAGGGTTCTTCATGCTTCCCTTGCTTTTTCCTTTGTTTTCTTTACATTTCCGACCTGCCCCCTTTGTTCCCTGTGCACTTCCGATCTGCTCCGTTCTCTGTGCATTTCCAATGGGTCTTGCATGCTTGATTGCTTCCCCCCACCTTCAGCCGGAATGGATAAATCGTGTTTCCAATGAGGCTAGCAGTGATTTTTTGTGTGTGATTTTTTTATACCTATCACATCATAGGACACCACCTCTCTTTTTTTAAGTACTTGTTTCTACTGTTTCTTTCTTTGACTCCACTTTGTTCTGAGGGTGATGATCTGTCTGCTTGCATGTTTTTGTTTTGCATAATTTAAAAAAATAGTATTACAGGACATTGCCCAGGTTAGCTGCAAATAAATTATAGATAAGATTTTCACCAATTTATTTACAATGGTTTTATTTTTCTTGTGCAGTTTTAGATGCAACATAATGTGCATACACAAACACAGGCTTAAATCCAATACAATGCTGAAAAATACCAGATATTCCTTCCTTTCCCTGTTTCACCTAACTGAAAAGCAATGTGTGTGGGGGGGATTTCTCAGCCCTCTAGAGGCCATTTTTGGGGTGCTAAGAGGACTGCAATGGGAGAGATTACACACATGCGCACAAATTTAAGCTGAATTCTACTGTTGTGCCTGAGGCCATCCAGGAGATCATACAGCAAATAATGAGACTGGTTTACCACACTGGCTTAAAATTAAGTCATTATAGTCCAAGATCAGTGTATCACTGTTCAAGCACAGGGCTAACACAGCGCTGGTTGGCAGAACTATAGTACTTTTGCAGTTTCTGCTTTCTATGTATGTGTGTGTTTGGGGTTTTGTTTCGTTATTCAGTTGTTTCTTATGAGAATGATTAGGAATAGCAATAGTCTATACAACACTGTAACAAATAACACACTATCAAATTGCAAATTTCCACAATAATAGGAGGTGCAACCTCAGAAAACCAGTTTCAGATCAGCCAAAAGCAGGTTTAACCAATCAGAACAGGTAGAAGAGCTAACTGCAATGGGGAAATCCAAGGATATAACAAGGACAGACTGCTTCGTCTATGGATAGCCACCAGAATAATGAAGCATAGGGCTAACATAGGATACCCCCCCCATATATATATGGGAAGAGCTGCTCTTCTTCCAAATTGTATGAACTGAACTATCCAACACAGTGCTGGTTGTCCATGCAGGTTTGCTTACTTTCATCTATCAACTATATATCAAAGCAGTTTAACTTATCTTTCAGTGCAAAACAACGTAAACAAATCCACACAACTACTAGCAATATAGATCAAGAACTTAACAGAATGCTCACCTCTCTTAAGCTGATCTTGACAGGGTACACAATATTTGAACCATCTCTCTTGAAGTGAGGATGCATTTTATCTTTAATAACAAACACGATATCGGCTGGGATTGTATTAGGTGTTTCATCACCCTCTTTGGGAAATGTAATTTTGGTACCCTCTTTCCATCCTCTCTTGATATCAATAGTAAGGATTTTATCCTCTGTTCTGACACTTCTGCCATCTGGGTTGAGTCTCTTCCGTGAAATTCTCATTCTTTTTGTGCAACCATGATAAATTTCTTCCAGTGATACCTTCAGTTCATGAATGACAGGGGGATCTTGCTTACGTCGGGGTTGGCTACCAACCGTGTTTCGTTCCCTTGGAAAGCCATTCATATTAAAAGTAGTAAAGGAACCAAATGGATCTCCATCCACTTCCATGTCTTCAGTATCCCTACCACCAGGCATTCTTCTACCAAAAAATATCTCAAAAGGATTCGCTCCACCAAAAAATGCTGCAAATGTGGCATGTGGGTCTCCATGAAAGGAGTACCGGAAGGTACCACCCTGCCCATCTGGTCCTCCAGCTCCTCCTTTCAGACCTAAAAATAAAGAACACACATATTTAGCAATTCCCATCTTGAAACTAATACTTGCTAAAAAGTACAACAAATGCAGGTTGCACTCCTATAAAGACTTTCCTTGACAGAAGAAAGAGATCTGTTTAACAACAGACCTATGGCCTGGTTGCCATTCGTCAAAAGGAATTTCACACCAGGCTGATGATGTACTGATTTTTCGCTGTTCCCATTGATAGCAAATCTTTTTCTTCTCAGCAGTAGCCTCTATTTCCATATTGACTACAGAAGGAGGATTTCTCCTCCTCTGCTGTCAACGTGGAAACATGCTAATAGAGGCTACAAAATAATTTTGCAGGCAACCAACTCTTGCAGAGTTAACTCATGTGACTGTACTGAATGGAAAACTAACTTGTAAATAAACAGAGGACTGGGCAGACATTAAATTTTTTAAAATCCAGTTTTATACACATTGATTTGATAATAAGCTCAGCTAAATTTAACTGGACGTATTCCAAAGTAAATGTGAAAAGAACTTTAGCCAAAATGTTCCCAAAATGATGAAACATGGCAAATCATATAAAATAAGCCTTATAAAACACTCTTAAAGTTATGCTATCACACATACGCTGACAGTTACCTAAACTATTTCAAGTCTGGCATTTCTTTCTACATTATGACACCCACCTACCCTCTGTGATTAATTTCGCCTACGCTGCCTTCCTAAATTTAAAGTTTCTCAGCTCTCTATGTACAGAACAAGCAGCAGACTTTTCTTAAGACTCAAAGACATCTTAACCCTATAGTGAACTCAATCTATGTCTTAGCAACAGGCATCCTTACTATCGCATATTAAATAAGATAAGGGGCCAGATGCTGTTCATTTGAATCACTTTTAGAATGATGGACTGCATAAGTGGTTTAACACTTTAAGGGCTTTTGGAAGGAGATATCATATGCAACAATCCGCCCCTCCGCCTTGCTCAAGCTGAAGCTCTGTTAATTAAAACACGCTCTCTTCATTTGCACACCAAGATGGAGCAGAACTACATGAAAACATTTACTTATTGAAATCTATGCATTTTCATATTATGAAAATACATGTAACAGAGTTTAATATTGCGCACCACACTGATTATACATATACAAACTCAAATGCCTACCAATAAGACCCTATTGCCTTGGAAATCTATAGAACCTGCTAGTCAGTCTAAATTGCCTTTTTAAAAAAGGACTGTTTATGACTGTATCTTGCTTGGACAGTGAAGCAGAAATGCATCCAACCCTTTGAAAGAACAAAAAAGGTTCAAACAAAAGATCCTTTGCAGGAATCAGTGAGAGATAGAATGATGCAAATGTTAAGTATACTGTATGGACATCTCTTTCTACTTATTCTAGTGCTTCTGTAAAGGTCACAACAACCAAAAGATAATAACCATTAGCTAGTTAAACTTGTGCCCTAAAACTATTATGTAGCAGGGACTGGTAACAAAGACTAACCCTGTAAAGATAATAACCATTAGCTAGTTAAACTTTATTATCTAGTTCAGTGAATCTGAAGAGGTTTCAGTGCCCTAAAACTATTATGTAGCAGGGACTGGTAACAAAGACTAACCCTGTACAGTACAGCAGAGGTCGTCAACCCCCAGTCCGCAGTCTGGTGCCGGTCCATGGCCAGAGTCGGACTGGGCCGCGGAGACAGACCTCTCCCCTGCATGCACTCCCCTCTCCACAGATGCTTTGTGCACATGCACGCATGCCAGCACTGGCATAAGCGCTCCCCCAACCCTTCACGCATGCGTCTGATTGCCAGCGCGAAGGGGTGGGTGGGTGCACGTGCAAGTGCTCCTGCGCATGCATGAAGGGGTGGGGCAGCGCTTGTGCCGGTGCTGGCAGGCATGCGCACACTCACCCACCGCTTCGTGCATGTGCCCGAGACTACGTATGTGCCCGAGCGAGCATGGAGGAGGGGTGGGGGAGCACTCGCGCCGGTGCTGGCAGGCATGCACACACTCCCCCACCGCTTCGTGCATGTGCCCGATACTACGTATGTGCCCAAGCGAGCATGGGGAAGTGCCCCACCTTCCTCAGATGCTCAGCCGGTCCACAATCCCAAAAGGTTGGGGATTGCTGCTATATAGTATGACTCAGCCGGTCCGCAATCCCAAAAAGGTTGGGGATTACTGCTATATAGTATGAATGAAGACACTGATGCACGCCACTGGAAGGATTGGTTGCACTGGTCAGAGACAGGGGGCACTACAGATGGTAGCAGAGACACCTACCCTTCCACTGACAGAAGCTGTTCTATCAGTGGAATACATTAGACTAGATTCCACCCTTAGTGTTGAACCAGGTGGATTCACTGTAATTACACTTGTAGCAGATCCACTGAAATCACTGGCACTTGGGTACATATTGCTTATTTACACACACACAAAATAAACATACACAATCATTGTCCAAACAATCTATGCTGAGTATGCTTAAACATGTTTATATCTTGTTTCAAGAATAAAATGTGTGCAATTTTAATTTCAGAAGGGCAGAGTGTTGCATATGTTTATGTTCTCTCTAATACTGCAAGAGGTTAAGAGTTTGAAAGAGTTTAGATTTTCGCAAACTTTATATTTTATCAGAATTAGCAAAACAGTCTTGATAAATTGATGCTTTATCAATTTTGCATATGCATGGGACTGGCCAAGTATATACATGTGGTGAGATTTTAGGATCTATTTTAAATACATTATATTTTTTTTCAGTCAATATTTCCAGAACCTACTAACACAAAAACTCTTTCCTACTAGATTCAGAAACCTGACTATAAAATAACACTATTAAAAGGACATTTCAAGCTTAAACCCAGCCTTAGCTGTGACAAGCATGGTGCTATTCACATCTAAATTTACAGATGTAGTGCTAATGGATAATGCCAAGCTTGCTGACAAACCATACCATGTGCTTGTTCGAATGTCACTTCCTAGAATAGATAACAGCTACCTTTTGCTGAAAGGACATCAGGTCTCATAGCTATTAAAAAGCTTTAAATCTACTGCCTCAGTAGATTCTGGAGTGCAGCAAATACTGTCACTAATGTTTATACAAAAATATTTGGACTTTATTTAAAATCAGTGATATGCTTCTATTACTGTCGCCTTTATTATACTAAAAAAATCTGTGTTGCTGTTTGCTGAACAAGAAGTGATTATAGGAGCTTGAACACACAATGGCATACTAAAATGGAAATAACAATGTATGATTGCAAGTACTTATAAGATTAGAAAAATATATGGAGGGATAAAGAACACTCATGTATGATTTTAAGAACAAAAACATTTATTTTCATTGTGCTGTTTCCTTCCCAAAAGTACAACAAAGACAGCAATTTTGGAACTGTAAAATCAGTAAAGCAAAACTAGCACATATAATAAACACATTTTTTCAAGAATCATTAGCTTCAGGTCATCAGTAGGATTCATCTATTTAACAGCTACCTATATCTTGAGCATATTTTTGGGAAATGAAAAATTCTTGTTCCATTAAGAGAATCTGCTACTAAAACACTAGAATCCAATGATTATAATGAAGCTAACTTTGTCATTAGAACAAAGCTTGCTCAAAATCTCAAACAATATTTTAATCATGAAGGCTATAGCTCAGTTCTCAGAGTTCTCAGAAACCATATAAACCATAAATAACTCTTTTAAAGTAACTGTTTTAAACTTAACACACTGTTTCTGGGCTTCATTCCCTTGGCACATTACACTGTTTACAATTAAGCTGAAAACTTGTCCTGGTATTTCATGACATCAGGCAAATTCTTTCCTTTCCAGTAAAGATGCCAATATTAGCTGAGATCTGGACACTTGGACTCTGGCTTTCATATAAGATTATTTTAATAAGTATATTACATGCCTGTAATATTTTGTGCCACTATGAAACAATGGGACAAAATAATCCCATTCAGCAACTAAGTCATGGCCCAAAAAGGCACACCAATGCAGATGTTCTTAAAACAAAAAACTAGGAAAGAACACTGCATTTTAAAATACAAGAACAAAACAAAACCTTCATAACCAGTTCAGAGCAAACTCTCAAAGGATTATTTCATTGGATCTTCAAACTATGTTACGACCAAAATCCCAAAACTGCGCCTTGAACTGTCTTGCACATTTGACATCTAACTAGTTTCTATTTTAAGCCAAAAAAAAAAAAAAAAAAATAGATCATCTTACCTTCTTCTCCAAACTGATCATAAATCTCTCGTTTTTTGGGATCACTCAGCACCTCATAGGCTTCTGCAATTTCTTTGAATTTTTCTTCTGCATGAGGGGATTTGTTTTTATCCGGATGCCATTTAAGGGCTTGCTTTCGGTAGGCTTTCTTGATGTCTTCCTCCGATGCCCCCTTTTCAATTCCAAGAACAGAATAATAATCCTTTCCCATGTCGACGGTTCAAAAGTTTATTTCCTTTGATATAAAAGAGTCCTATATTTCACCTATCCAACACAGCTGGAAACGGGTAACCAGACGTCACAAGAGCTGTAGCTGTATTAAGCAGCAGGCAAAGTACTCATCGCTTTCTCCCCCTCCCTAATTATTTTCTACAGATAAATATACACAGTGGTAGAGCACTCCCAATTGCACTACGTGTCTTTGCTTCTTCTAGAACAGCAAATGGTATAAGACGTCACTTCCCAAGCTAGCTACACCCAAAAAATCTTCAAGTCTTCTCTCTCTATACAGTTAACTATTCAATGTCCATCTCTCTTTGATGATGAATGAATTCCTCATTTAAGACAGTGTAACCACTTCATCTTCTGTGAGGACCTGTAGATTACACATATTGGTCAGATATTAGGCACTGTGATGAAAAAAATAATCAGTGCTGCAAGATTCACAGTCTTATGCGGTGGCAAAGGCAAGCCAGAGAAGCCTAAAGCATCATACTGCCACTCGCACAAAACTAGTATGAGCCGATATCCAGCAAAAGCACCTGACAACACCAATGATCTTACTAAAAAGAAAGTCACAAATTAACCAACTGCCGTAGCACAGAAGTGGAAATACAGGTCAAAAACTGGAACATTTAATACTGTAATGCAGCATAAAATGTAGATAGGCTGAAATTGGACAGTCTGGGGATGATGTGATAATAGAAGCGTGATATAGACAGGTGGTGGGGAGATTGAACTGACTGGAGTTTGGGAAGAGAAGAGAGGCAAAAGAGTAAAGCAACAAGAGTCAAAAACAAGACATTGTGAGACAATCTGGTGTATGTGTAGACAGGAGATACGGTACATCCCAGGACATCCAGCGACAATTTATCTCGTGTCTGGATAAAAATATTGGGGTGATTAATTCAAAACAGGTCAAATAAGCAAAAACCAATAACAAGGATGATTCTGGAACAACTGAGAACAACACCACTGTGTGAACAAACTCAGTTATGAGAGCCAGTTTTCAACGTAGACATACAGAATAACTAAGATAAAAACAACCATTAGATAAAAAGCTTTATAGGAAGCACAGTAATAAAGATACAGTGGTGCCTCACATTACGACATTAACTCGTTCCAGCGAAATCGCTGTAGAACGAAAACGTCATAATGCAAAATTAAAAAGCCCATAGAAATGCATTAAAACCCGATTAATGCGTTCCTAGGGGTTTGAAACTCACTGTCCAGCGAAGATCCTCCATAGCGTGGCCATTTTCGCTGCCTGTGTAGTGAAGAATCCGTCCCAGAAAAGAGCGGGGAGCCATGTTTTTTACCCGGTGGCCATTTTGAAACCATCGATCAGCTGGCCGAAAATCATTGCTTTGCGAGAATCAGTTCCCGAAGCAGGGAACCGATCATCGCAAAGCGAAATTTCCCCATAGGAAACATTGTTTTGCAATCGCTTTTGCGATCGCAAAACCTTCAACGTAAAGCGATTTCGTCGTAAAACAGAGCGCTCATGAGAGGCACCACTGTACTAAGAAACCCTGACTGTTTCCTGCTGTCTACGCAGAGCTCATCAAGATTGTACTGATGGCATTCAAGCTATAAAAAAATTCTTCATAACAACTTGATTTAAGGATTATCTCTGAAACAATATGAGTTGAGAATTATCTCTGAAAGCCCATGCTAACCCCTAGACCAGTGGTTCCTAACCTTGGGTCCCTGGATGTTCTTGGACTACAACTCCCAGAAATCATGGCCAACACACCCAGTGTGAAGGCTTCTGGGAGTTTTAGTCCAAGGACATCTGGGAATTCAAGGTTAGGAACTGCTGTTCTAAGACACTAACCAAATTGGTTCAGTGCAGGTCTAGGGAATCTGCAAACTTGTCCATATAAGCCAAATGTTCAAACAGCTCAGTCTGGGGAGCAAAAAAACCCCAAGCTGTCCCATATTTCAATGCCATTTTTCTGCATTAAGCAACAAAATAAAAGAATGAAATTTGGCAAGAATATGAAAGCATCCTCCACCACTATGCTGGCTAGGGCTCACAAGAAATGAACTTCAAAAACGTTAGGAAAGCCACAGCTGCACACCCCTGCTGTAATAAAGCTAATAAAGCTCATGATTATAATCAGGAGTCAAGTACTGACACCATTATCACAATTTGCAATCACTTTTCCTTTCTGACAACAGACGATTTAATTTGCCAATTTTACTACCACTCAATAGCAACCTCAAAGCAGGTTTTCATCTGGCAAATAAAAATAAAATACGCTGAAAAGATGTCATTCAACAAACAGCTTGGCAAACAAAGCAAGCTGTGTAGCCTTGATAATTTTTTTTGCAAATGTGCTATATTCTTCTCTAAAATGTCAGTTGACTTGACAAAAACCGTGGTCATTTATTCTATCTCTACACTTTTTTGTTGACCTGAATTCCTGCATGCTTGTAGCAAAATGTGCACTTTTCAAGAACATTTTAATGAAAACTGTATTAGAAACAGGCTAACAAGAAGCTTACAAAACATAATCACATAACTACAAGCATTGTGAAAATTATGTTCACTCTATTACATTTACTAGTGAGGTATTCAAGCATTCTAGCTTATGTTTCTTTGTTTATTCCAGTAAACATAGGTTCACCCCTGTTCTCTTCCATTACTTCTAGGACTGTCTTATCGTCTCAGAATACACTTGCATAAAGATAATAGTATACAATCTAATGGAAGCCATCATATTCTAAATCTCAAAATAAGGGAAGGATCATACAACTTTCATGGAGCCAAATATGTTCTTATGAGTTTGACTTTGTGTTTCTCTTAATACTCACTATTATCAAGACGAGAATTTCTTTCTATCAAAGGTAGCAGTTCCTTTTTTCTAAAATTTACAGTGGTGCCCCGAACAGCGACGATAATCCATTCCGGATTCATCGCTATACGGAACAAAAAAGCCCAAAGGAATGCATTAAAACACGTTTAATGCGTTCCTATGGGCTGTAAACTCACCATTATGCGAAAATCCTCCATATGGCCACCATTTTGGCTGCCCGGTAAGCAAGGAATGGGCGCGAAAACACAGCAGGTGGCCATTTTAATTACCCGGTGGCCATTTTGGAACCACTGATCAGCTGTTCCAAAAACATTGCTATGCGAAAATCGGTAAGCAAAACAGCTTACCGATCATCGCAAAGTGATTTTTTACTTCCTAAATCATCGCAATGTGATCGCTTTTGCGATCGCAAAAAAGCCATTGCTATGCGGATTCATCATTAAACGGGGCGCCCGTTATGCGGGGCACCACTGTATTTTATTAAATGACCATCAAACATAGACAATTAAACCTATCATCACAATAAATTATAATTACATAATACACCAGTGCCACCTTCACCCTTAAAAATATTAACAATATTTTTAAATTTCATTTGATTCATTTTCTCTCCAAAAATTCATTGTTTCTTCCCTCGGCATATACCCCTTCCCTCTCCAAAATACATATTCCAGAAATACATTCCATGTTTTCTTAAAATCATTGTTTTTTGATAGAGCTCTTCTTATTTTTCTATCACATGTCAGTTTATCATTAATTGCCATATCCCATAATTCTCTATACCAGTCCTCTAAATTAATTTGGTTATCATTTTTCCAATTTCTTGCAAATATGAACCTTGCTGCCGTAACCATTATTACAATGAAATCCTTATTTTCTTTCACCAATTGATCCTCCTTGACCATATTCAATAAAGCCATTGACAGGGACATTTGAATATTTAATCCAGTTATTTTACTTATTTCTTTAAATATTTGCTTCCATTCCTTCTTACTTCACATAATCACTAAATATGTAAATAGGTCCCCTTCTATTTTTTTACACCTCCAACATAGTAATGATGATAATTTTTTTATTTATTGTAGTCAGTTTTACTGGTGTTAAATACCAAATGGTAGCAGTTCCAAGGGGTGTTTTAGGAACCTGTCCCCAACAGCTGTTCCTTGCCAAAAGAGGCAGCTTGCTGAGTCAGTCCTAAACATAAAAGTCCTTGAAATATTTATCCCTTCCCTTGCCCATGTCTCCTGTTATATACAATCCTTGGCATGTTCTTTACGAAATAAGTTCAAGTGGGTTCTCCAATGAAATTTTGCAGTGTGGAGCACTTCTTCTGAGGACACTGTATTCTAGTCCTCTTCCTTCTTCCCACCTCAATCAATCCTCCCTCCCTGCAACACTCTCCCAGCATTACAAGACCAGTAAGCAAGATAATTTAGCACTGGCTTACTGGAGGTGGGGCTGTGCCCCTCCTAAATTCTCTTCCTGAAGACTTTTTATACATCTACAAATGTCAGTTCTTGTGCAAGGACATGTGACTTTTGGCTATGTGAGCAATGGCATTCATGCCTGAACATGACAAAATGATTATTCATATGCTCAGCGAGCCCCTATGATTCTAAAAGACAATAAATTCCACTATAGCTTGTTAAAAATATTCTTTAATCGCTCAACATAGAGATTTCTGTACAATTAAGGGAGCTAGTGTATCTATCATCTGTGTTTCCTTTACAGGATTAACACAAAAATCTGTTTCTCATCTTCGATATCCTGAACTACCTGATTCCTTGAGGTGTATAATCATGTTAAATTGATTCATTATAAACATAATTATTATTATTATCATTATCATCGTTATTACATTAAACATGTTCTTTCCACTACTAAGGTGGCTTGCAATCCTACCATGATAAAAACAATAGAAACACAATCAGCCATCAGATCATCAAAATCAAATAAAAACCAAACCAAACAATACAAACTACTAAAATAATCTCTAAACTAAAACAATCCCAGAACATTTTCACGAACAGCTATAAATAGTTCTGATGCAGAGTGGCCTAGAATTCTGTTAAACAAACAGGCATACTAGTAAGAACATAATTTAAGCCTGTGTGTCAGGTATGAATCAGAAGGCCAAAGATCTGTGGACAGTTACTTCTTCCCACTCTGGAACACAGCATTTTTCAAATGCTAGGTATCAGATAATGCATTTCTAGTGAAAGACCCGTACTATTACACTATTTTGTTGTTTCCATGTTTTTTCAATAAAGGTTTAAAAGAGAGAGAGAGAGAGATGATGAGGATGATGCTAGGACATTCTTATTTGAATAGGCTTTTCAGATCAAGGATGAAATCTTTTCAGTGGCCAGCCACATGAATTAAAGAGGCATATACTGTATATAACAAGAAGCAAACAAGCCACAAGCCAAAAGGATCACAGCTAAAAAATGTACAGATAATGAGCAATGTCATGACAATTATACTAAGAATGAGAACATATCTAAAAGTTCTACAGGTATCTATAAATTCTAATCTATTATGATGATCAGTTATG